TTGGCGAACTTTGGGATGCAAACTTGGGAAGTCCTGGCGACTTGAGAGTTCCAAACAGAGGACTAGGACCACCAAACAGACGTTGGGAGGTTCAGAGGTTTGGGAGTCACAGCACTTCTGGTAGCTCAGGGGTACAGGCGATTTGGGAGTTTCAAACAGGGGACTCGAAGTTCCAAACAGAGATTTGGGAGTCACAGCGCTCCTGGCAAGCTCAGAGGTCCAGCTGGTTTGGGAGTTCCGAACACAGGTTCAAACAGAGGTTCAGGTGTCCCAAACAGAGGTTTGGGCAGAGGTTTGGGAGCTCCAAACAGAGGAGGACTCGGAGTCTCACACGGAGACTTGGGAGAGCGCTCCTGGCAAGCGCAGAAGTCCAGGTGGTTTGGGAGTTCCAAACACAGGTTTAAACGGAGGTTTGGGTGTCCCAAACTGAGGTTTGGGACCTCCAAACAGAGGACTCGGAGTCCCACACGGAGACTTGGGAGCTCCAAACAGAGGACTTGGAGTCCCACACCGAGACTTGGGATAGTTAACTCTTTCAAACACAGGTTTAGACAAAGGTTTGGGTGTCCCAAACAGAGGTTTGGGACCTCCAAACAGAGGACTCAGAGTCCCACAGCATTCCTGGCAAGCTCAGAGGTCCAGTTGGTTTGGGAGTTCCAAACACAGGTTTGAACAGAGGTTTGGGTGTCCCAAACAGAGGTTTGGGAGTCACAACACTCCTGGGACAGAGTGACTAAGTGATATGCAGTGACTACAGGCTAGGCTCAGGTCACACCGGGGTGTGATTGGGATGAGGGACTACAACACACATTGCAGGAGGTGTGGCGGCGTCAAGGACAAAAGAAAATGGAGAGAAATTTTCAGTAAGGCGGTACTAAGGCCAAGGTTGTGCCATCAGCTCCCTTTGTTCATCCTGCTGGTGAGCACCAATAAGTGTCCTGATCGGTGCTCGCCTTGGTTATGTCCCCTTGACTGGCAAGGAATTGAACCAGCGATCTCAGCCGGAAGAGAAAAAGCCAGATGACTCTGCCACTCGTTTTCCTTTATCCGGAGAGGCCATGCTCTCACAGTTTGTATTATTTCACAAAGGTTATGGAGTAATATGAACCCTATTTGCGTCAAACTTGGCCTCTCTGTATGTTTCACAAAGATGACTCTGCCACTCTTTCCTTCATCCGGAGAAGCCAACCAGTGTCACGATACAAGTCTGAAGACTCTGAACTGAAAAGATTCACGCTGCAGACACCCAGTCCCGGTCCCAGGGTCCCGACAAGTCCCGAGTCCCAGGGCCGTCCTGTAGGGTAGGCCATAGAGGCCGAAGTGTCGTAGGTCGGTAGGTGTCGGTACGGAAGCGTCGTAGGTCAGTAGGAGGCCGTCTGGTACCCGACAAGAAAAGTCCAGAAGCGTCCAGTCCAGTCCGACAGTCCCAAGTCCAATTTTGCAGCATGTCCCAGGAAAGTCCGGAAGCTTCCGGACCGACAAAATCTTTGCAGCATACAGGCCGTGGCGGACCGATACCGGTCTGAACCAGGCCAAGCCAAGCGAAGCCAAGTCCTATATTTAGCTGCTACAGTGCAGCGGCTCATCACTTGTTCAGTTGCAAGATGCTTCCGCTGCTGCTGCTTGTGCGTTAAGACAACTTGGGAACTGCGTGCCCGAAGAAGAAGAGGGCGCATGCGTGTGACTCCATAGCTAGGTAGGGGTAGAGCAGGAGGACGGCGGCCATAACCGCCAAGGTGTAAGCTTACCTGAGTGGGTGTATCCAGGGTGACGATCTAGGTTAGAGAGAGAGAGAGAGAGTGAGGCAGAGCAAGCTAAGTCAAAGATAGAAGCAAGACGAAGAGAGAAAATAGAGAGAAGAGAGAGAAGCCGTAGCTGCCACCTGATTGAGATCCGTTGTGTGTGTGTGTGTGTGCGGCAGAGCCGCTGGAGACAAACATTCTTGTATATTGATAATGATATTGGAGATGACATCTTCAAGTGTTGATTGTATCTCGATTTGGCTTCTCACGTGTGATCTCTCATGTGAATGTTCATTGATGTATGCGAGGTTGAACTTGATGAGTACTTGGCTCATTTCAGAACCTCAGCATAAGTGCACTTTCCAAGAGCATCGTAACATCTGTTACATGCCCAGTTGGGCGATGTACATATAAAACCGAGGATCCGCAATGTGATAAAAAGGACTGAATGGACAATGCAGTGCAAGTGGAATCTCAACAAGCAATGTGCATTCTGATACATACAAAATGGCGCCTTGTGGCGCAGCGGAAGACTTAGATACAAGTCCTGACCTGACCGGGACTGACCTCTATCACATCTGTCTCTTATACACATCTAGATGTGTATAAGAGACAGGTGTAAGACAGCGCAACAGAATGCTAGAATACCAATGACTAGCCCAATCAATGTTGCAATGCAGACCAAACATACATCATCCTCATCACAAGGTGTGAAGGGACCTGGCGCTATACACAGGAAGAAGGCGCCAGGCCCAGATCATGCACAGACGAAGAGGAGGGGAACAGACGAAGAAGAGGGGGAGAGATGGGAATGTCGTCAACACCAAGTCTTTGTTACAAGTCCCAAATAATCCCTCGTCAAAATGTCCGAAGCCCAAATGTCGAGTCTGAATCCAAATGTCACCAGGCCCGCTCTCTCATAGTCTGCTGATGCAGTGAAGTCAGGTAGCGAGAGGGTGAGATGGAGATGGTGGACTGAGAAGAGGAAGAAGAAGAACTCTCTCTCTCTCATATGCCAGGTACTAACCTGTGAAGTTGGCGCTGTGCTGCAGGTACCTTGAAGGCGAAGCTGGAGCTATGGCGCTGCAGGTAAGTATCCCTGGCCTCCGCTCWMTCTCTCTCTCTCTAGTACTACTCTAGCTCCTAAGAGCGCCCAGCGCTGAAGACTACTGCTAACGCTACTAGCGCCCCGCTGAAGACTACTGCTAGTGCTACTACTAATCCTGCAGCGCTCCTCCAGAGTGCTGCTGCTGAATCCTGAAGACTACCTCCTGCCTTCTGAACTGCACGTGAAGTGCCTGGGAAGTACCTAGGAACTACCTACCGACCTGCAGGGCGGGCCAGTCCTATATGGTGCTGGCCCGTCCAGGAGGCTGCTCTTGCCTAGGCCGAAACGTGCTAGACCCTGGCGTTGAAGCTCAACCAGGGGTTGTCTTTAAAACAGGCCGGAAATGGCCTGTGCTAAAACCCTGGTTCGTTGCCTGAGTTTCAGGGCGGGTCGAACTGATGAGGGCCTGAAAATGGCCCTCAGTTTCAGGCTGAAAACACTCAGGGCCGGAAATGCCCTGATTTAGCCTGAAACGACACACGGCCTGTAGGCCCTTGTTTTCAGGCTTTCAGGCTGAAACGACACGGGGCCTGTAGGCCCTTGTTTTCAGGCTTTTGGCCTGAAAACGTCACGGGCCTGAAAGGGGCCCGTGCAGCCTGTTGCAGGCGCAGCATGTAACACATCAGAGAAGAGAATGGGGTAGTGGGGAGAAGTGACAGAGAGGAGCAGAAGAAGAGTCCCAATAATAATCAATAAGGCATGAACTGCCATAAAGTCTCTTCCTGCCCACTTCCTCCTCTGACATTACCCCCCCTGTCGCCACCTCAGCAGTGCAGTCTCGCTCTAACGTCCTCTGACAGTTTCAGTGCGCAGGTCACAGCAGGGAGCCCATCCTCCAACCTTCTCAGCAGCCAATCAGGGAGGATGGCGCAGATCTTCCTCACCTTCGTGGAGATGAGCAGCAGATCATACACGATGTCGCCAGGTAAGCTGCAGGTAAGCTTCCCCTCCAACTCTCTCCAGTCTCACAGCCTTGATCCTCCCCCTCCTCCCCCAACCTCAACACCAATCTCTATCGCTATGGCGGCAATGGCCACTCCAACATAATCTCCTCCAATGCTCGCGGCCCTGCAGCAGTGCTGGTGCCAGCATAAACTCCAGCAACCTCGCGATACCGTACTAGCATCAAGCCAGCACAAGGCAGAATGCCTTCTTCCCCAGTGTCTGGCCGTTCTTTTGTAGCGTTGACCAATGTAGACTGGTGTGGACCAGTCTTCCCTTTGTCAGTATCGACGCTTCAGAATTGCTCACTTTCGACGGCCTGAATGCAGCTCCGCAGCAGTGGTACCTTTTCCCAGTCGGGACTGGAATCTTCCGGATAACTGCAGACAACCAATGACGTGCATCTGATCGACGGCCATGGCGGGCCATAGGGCTGACTTTGACTTTGGTCCTGGAATCCCATGCTGGGGTTGACTCTTGATTTTCCAAGAGTCGACTGTCTCACGTTGGGGTGCTAGACACAGCTTTTGACTCAGATCCTGGTACCCCTTGACCCTAGGAACTTTCTCAGACATTTCTGATGCTTGGGACGTGACTTTTGACCCCTGTTTCTGCCCTTTGACCAAAAGTGACGACCCTTGCTCGTGTCTGGGCAGATCTGAACCGGGTTTATGAAACCTTCCTCCTCCATGTCATTCGGATCATCATCATGATAGTCAAACCGGAAATCCTGTTTTGTTTGTGGTTTCCAGCTTTCCATGTTCAATGTCATCCATCATTCATTCCATTTTTTATTTTTATTTTTTAATTTTACTTTTTTCCAACTTTTCCCCATATTCTATGTCATTATTCCCGTCTGACAATTGTTGTGTCAGATAGAGATCGATTGCTTACCTTCGGAATCCAACAGTTTTTTGAGGGCCTAGCCCATGTCATCATCATTGCTGCATTCATCTGATTGGTCAGAATCCGAGCTCACTGAGCCACATGGGCTGGTGTGAATCCAACTGAGTTCCTGTTATACTGGGGGGGGGGGGGGGGGGGG